TCCCCACGGTGTCCCCCAGAGCAGGGACTGAGAGCGTGCCAGACCCCCTCGGCACGTCCCCTAGTTGCAAGGTGGATGAGGGAGGAGACCTCCACGGACAGAGGCTCACAGTCTTGCAGGCTGACGTGAATTTCAACCCCAGCCGCAGGACCCTGGGCGCCCCCCCCCCGGAGCCTCAGTCTCCCTGTGTGTGAAGTGGGCAGGCGCGAGTGGACGGAAGCGCGCGGGGCCGCACTCCTGCCCAAACCGACTTCTGCTGGGCGCATCCCGTCCTAGCCGCCTCAGTGGGAACCCCGCGAGGGCCGCGCCCACCGCGTGGGGCCTGCTGTCGTCACGGGTGGGAGGCTCTGGGGTGGGTGGGGGACAGTCAGTGCTTTGGGGGGAAGGTTCCGGCTCCAAGTCCCTGCACGGTTTGGCAGAAAAGCCGAGCTGTTTCTTCCGGCGCCCACTTGGCGGGGCGAGCGCTGCAGAATGGTTTTCATTTAAACACCCTCCGTTTTGAATTGCTCGGAAACTTCCCGAAAAAGTCTCCTTTTTTGGCTGAAACGCCTCCTGCGTTGGGTGTGTGCCCAAGCAGCATTGCCTGAAGCGGGGCGGACCTTGACTCTGCAATGGCTGGTGTTCCAGAAGCTTCTGTCGGGCTGGGGCTATTGATCACCACCCAGTTTTCAGCACATGGGCCCTTGTTGTTTTGGTTTAAGGTTTCTTCCCGCTCACGGGGGTGGGGGGCGGGCGCCCGAGAGACATTCACAGGCACCAGACGTCCTCATCCATCTTCGCCTTTTCTTGGAGGGAAGGGGTGAGGAGTGAAGACGGAGACAGTCCAGGAGGGGAGCCTGGCTCACGGGCCACCCCGTGCTCCCTGCCACTGCCTGCCCACCCCCACATGTGTCCATGGGTTTGCAAGCACGGGCTCCCCACAGGGGAAAAGGCCCTGAGCGGAACCCCGGGGGATGGGTCTCCACCAGGGCTTCTCGCCCTCAGCGAGGTGGACATGGGGGACCAGATGATTCTTCGATGTGGGGCCTGTCCCGCGTCTGGAAGGGCATTTAGCAGCATCCAGCCTGTACCCATTCCATCCGAATCCTGACAATCCAAAATGTCTCACCCTTGCCAGTGTGACTCATCGGGTTGGGTGTCATTCCACAAAGCGAAAGGTCGCAGGGTTGATTTCCGGTCAGGGCACGTCCTGGAGTCCCGAGTGTGGTCCCCATATGAGAGGCAACCGATCGATGTTTCTCACACTGAAGTTTCTCTCCGTCTCTTCCTCCCTCCCTTCCCCTCTCTCTAAAAATAAATACATCTTAAGAAAAAAAAAATGTCTCCAGACATTGCCAAATAGCTCCTAAAGGCAAAATTGCCACTGGTCCAGACCCAGCTGTAAGGTCCTCTTTTCCCAGGCGCCCTCCCTGGTTCCGGTCTGACAACACCGCCCCCCACCCCCCATCCCGCTTCCCTCCCACAGGCACTAACCCGCCTCATGGAGCAATTTAGCCTCAGACTGAATCAGCCGGTTGCTCAACAGTCAGTAAACCTGGCTGACCTGGGAGCTTGTTTGAGAGCAGAGATTGAGTGGTGTCCATTACAGGATCTGGAATGTTCTAGAGGCTCAGCTGAACAAATGGACAGCACTGTGAGAAGAACATAGGACACAAAGGGAATGTCACTGGAGAAGCAAAAATACAAGTATGGATTAAAATCCAAAAGGTTGACCCATGCTCCGTTAGCCAAGCTGGACAGAGCAGGCCTCCCGTCGGCCGGTGCGTTTGGCCACATCGAGCATCGTACTCACTGGCCCAACATTTTCACTTCTCAGGCTCTGTCCCAAATATGCACTGGCAAAACCAGAAAACTATGTGTGTACAGAGATGCCCTGTGGCATTCTTCTGGTTGCAAAAGACTGGAAACGCACCGAGTGACTGTCCCCAGGGCTCTGGTAAATAACCCGCCGTGAGTCACACACCCGAGCGCTCCGGAGCTGTGAAGAAGAACCAGAAAAATGTCTGTGCACTGGGTGGAGGAATCCGGGGACAGGCCATGAAGGAGGAAAAAGTGAGTGCAGAACAGTACCTGGAATGCTGCCTTTTGATAGAAGACGGGGAGAAAATGTCATATGCAGTTTATTTTATTTGCAAAAAGCAATGCTAGAAACATACAGCCAAACTGATTTAAAAACCGGGTCCCTACATGTGGAGGAAGAGAACAAGAAGGGACAGTGAATATGGAAAATAACCCAAAGAAAAGGGTATAGCTTGGGTGGCAGGGGAGGCTGTGCCACTGGACCCTACAGGACACCTAGTACATTAGGCCACACAACCAAGACAGGGAGTCATAGCAGCTCTACCTAATACATAGAAACAAACACAGGGAGGCTGCCAAAACGAGGAGACAAGGAAACATGGTACAAATGAAAGAATAGATCAAAACTCCAGAAAAAGAACTAAACAAAATGGAGATAAGCAATGTATCAGATGCAGAGTTCAAAACACTAGTTATAAGGATGCTCAGGGAATTTAGAGGACCTCAGTAGCATAAAAAAAATCCAGTCAGAAACGAAGGATACACTGATTGAAAAAAAGAAAAATTTACAGGGAAACAACAGTAGAGTGAATGAACTCAATGATCAAATCAATGATTTGGAACATAAGGAAGCAAAAAACAACCAATCAGAACAACAAGAAGAAAAAAGAATCCAAAAGAAAAATGAGGATAGGGTAAGCAGCCTCTGGGACAACTTCAAGCATTCCAACATTCACATCATAGGGGTGCCCAAAGGCAAAGAGAAAAAGCAAGAAATTGGAAATCTATTTGAAAAAATAATGAAAGAAAACTTTGCTAATTTGGCCAATGAAATAAACATGCAAGTCCAGGAAGCCCAGAGAGTCCCAAACAAGATGGATGCAGAGTCCCACTCTAAGACACAGCCTGATTAAAATGCCAAAGGTTAAAGATAAAGAGAGAACCTTAAAAGCAGCAAGAGAAAAGAAGTTAGTTACCTACAGTGGAATTCCCATAAGACTGTCAGACGATTTCTCAAAAGAAACTTTGCAGCCTAGAGGGATTGGCAAGAAATACTCAGTCATGAAGAGCAGGGACCTACAGCCAAGATTGCTCTACCCATCAAACATATCATTCAGAGTCAGAGGACAGATGAGAGCTTCCCGGACAAGAAAAAAACTAAAGGAGTTCATCATCACCAAACCATTAGTACATGAAATGTCAAAGGGACTTATTTAAGAAAAAGATCAAAACTGTGAACAATAAAATAGCGATAAACACACATCTATCAACAATTGAATCTTAAAAACAAACTAAGCAAACAGAAAGAACAGAGACAGAATCATGGATACGGAGAGTGTTTTGATGGTTGCCAGATGGGAGGGGGTTGTGGGGAAATGGGTGAAGAGTTGAGGGAGTTAAGAAGCACAAATAGGTAGTTACGGAATAGCCGTGTGGATGTAAAGGACAGCATAGGAAATGGAGCAGCCAAAGAACTTGTACATATGACCCATGAACAATGCTGTGGGGACTGCCTGAGGTAGTGGGGGGAGCTTGGTGGAGGGGGGCAAAAGGGGAAAAATCGGGACAACTGTAATAGCATAACCAATAAAATATAATTTAAAAGGTGATTTTTTAAAAAAAGAAAAGCGTGAGTTTTGTTTTCCTGAATGAAATGGTACCTGGAATATTATTAAATAAAAATAGGCCAGTTGAAGCACCCATGTGTTCAGCATGATCTCATGCTTGTACATTTTTTGAAAATAATTTTTTAAGGATTTTATTTATTTTTAGAGACAGGGAAAGGGAGGGAGAGGGAGAGAAGCATCTATGTGATGTGCAAGAGGAACATTGATCGGTTGCCTCTCTCTCTCATGTTCCCAACTAAGGACCTGGCCCGGAACCCAGGCATGTGTCCTGACCGGGAATCGAACTGGTGACCTTCCATTTGTGGGACAACGTCCAACCCCTTGGGCCAAATGGTCAAGGTTGCTTGTACATTTTTTAAATGCATATTTGTAGTCTTATAAAGTGTAGGGAGTGGAGCCAGGGAGAGGAAAGTATTTGGTTTTGCTTTATACCCTTCTGTGTTGTTTGAAGCTGTTACTGTGACAAGCAGTGACATTACTTGTTATTAAAATGTATATTTGTAGTAAGGAAATCAGACCCAGAAGGTAGTGCTGAACGGGGCAGTGTTGGTTCTAAGGGCCAGGCAAGCACAGTGAAGGGGCGGGGGTTTCAGCTGGTCAGGGAGGGCTCCCTGGAGGTGGGGGCAGTGAGCCGCCCGGCCCTGGGGGAGGAAGGGTCAGCATTTCTGCCCCTGGATAAAATTTCAATGTGGATATAGTAACTGAACATCCTCCTTCCTGCCCCTCTGCAGAGTGGGAATGATGGGGTAACAGCACCTGTCTGTCGGATCCTCTGAGCACCTGATGGTCTGCAGGTGCCAAGGAGCCTGGGTGTGGTGGGCCCTTTGAACTGCCACTCTTGCTGCTCTTTATTGTGTATCATTATAATTAAACAACAAATATTGATGGAGGGCTTACCATGCCCTAAGGCCTGGAGCAGGTGCTAAGGACACCCCCGTGTCTCCTGGACCCTCCCTGGCCAGGTCTGTTGTCCCTCATGGCAGCAGGTGCCTGTCCCCTGGCTCCATAGGATAGGAGCCTGGTTGCTCTTGTTCACCATTACATATTCCAGGGCCCTGGTCCTGAGTCCGCCACATAGTAGGTGCTGGGCGAGTATGTGTTGAAGAATGAAATGAATGGACGAAGGATTGAAGGAGTGAACGGAAGGAGGCGCTCCTGCTCTCAGGGCCGCGCCATCCATCTGTGGAGGGAGACCCAAGTAGAGAGCTCAGGGCAACTGCTGAGCAGGTAGATGGCTGCGTGCCTTTGTCGGCACCTCCGGGTGCAGGGGCGGCCTGGCCGGTGTGGGGGCGCTGCGGGCACCCACCACGCACTGGCCTCCGCCCTGCTGACCCTCGGGTTCTTTCGCCGCAGGTGAGTGTCCCAGTCCCGGCCGCGGTGGCGCCACCAAGCGGAAGAAGAAGCAGAGGCGGAATCGCACCACGTTCAACAGTAGCCAACTGCAAGCGCTGGAGCGCGTGTTCGAGCGCACGCACTACCCCGACGCCTTCGTGCGGGAGGAGCTGGCCCGGCGCGTCAACCTCAGCGAGGCACGCGTCCAGGTGAGCGCGGCCGGTCTGTGGGCCACCCGTGGGGCCATGCCACCACCATTCGCTCTGGGTTAGGGAGTGGCCCACGTGAGGTGTTTAAGAGCAGTAACATCTGAGACCAGCAGGGCTGAGGTTCAAATCCAAGCCCTGCCACTTACTAGCTGTGTGACTTGCAGCAAGTTACTTAACCTCTCTGTGCCTTAGGGACCTCCCTGTAAAATGAGGATAACATGGGTTTATTTTATAGCGTTCTTCTGAGAATTACAGGAGCTAATATATTTGTGAAGTGCTTAGAGCCGTGCCTGCCACAGAGAGTTTTGAGCCCTGAGCTGAGCGCTCACCATGCAGCTTCCCGGTGATAACGTCACAGCAGCGAGGGGTCATTCATTCGCGGTTCATCCATTCACGCCTCTGTTCTCCAGCACACTCTCTCACCCCTACTTTACAGGGGCAAGAAAAGGGGCTCAGAGAGGTGAAGCTGCCAGTCCAGGGCTGAGAGCACAGCAGGCACACCCTGGGTTCAGAGGGACTTGGGTCCCCTTTGCAGCTGGCTGTACCCTGCTCCCCACCCTCCCGCCCTCAGGTCTGGTTTCAGAACCGCCGGGCCAAGTTCCGCCGCAATGAGCGGGCCATGCTGGCCAACCGCTCCGCCTCGCTGCTCAAGTCCTACAGCCAGGAGGCCGCCATCGAGCAGCCCGTGGCCCCCCGGCCCACCGCCCTGAGCCCAGATTATCTCTCCTGGACAGCCTCGTCCCCCTACAGGTGAGAGCCAGAACCCTTTCCGGCCAGGAGGGGCACAGCCGGGGCATCCCAGGGCGCCTGCTAGGGCACAGGTTTCTTGAGCATCTGGAGACACCTGTGAACGGCGCCCATGAGCCCCTGGGACCTGGGGCCCACCAGGTGGTGCGTGGGCAAGTGTGCGAGTGTGTGCTCATGAGTGTGCCCGCGTGGGCCTTGCAGGAGTATGCGTGCGAGTTGCATGAGTGTGAGCGCGCACACCTGGGCCTGTGTGCATGCACAGGGGTGTGCGTGTGCGCATGCATGCATGTGCACATGAGTGTGCAGAAGGGTGAGAGGGCGAGGCCAGTCTGGACGGGAAGGGGAGGACCCACGTCACTCTCAGGTGGTTGAAACCTGTAGGATGGCTGGTGCGAGAGCCCCAGCACCCGTGTCCACCCTCCCGGACAGAAACAGAGGCCAGGAGGCCAGAAAGGGTGGCCTCCTTGTCCTGAGGCCCTGGCAGGGGTCCAGAGCCAAGTTCTGGGGCAGTTTCCCCCTGGCCAAAGCTGGGGGAAAAGGCTCTGAGGTTGCAGGGCGAGGCAGAAGAGGGAGGGGTGCTAGGGATGGGGTTCCTGGTCCCCGCAACTCCAGGGGGTGCGCTCCGCTCCTTAGTCTGTGAGCAGCTCCGCTAGAGCCCTGGTCTCCTCGAAGGTGAGGTCCAGCAGGTCAGCTCATGGGACTGGAGTCCTCGTGATGCCTGGCGTCTCTCCCAGCTTCCCCCGCCCTGTCCTTACCTGGGGCAGGAGAATCACCTAGACATGTCTGACCTGCAGCCTTGGGGCCAGATGCAGCCCAGGATGGCTGTACACAAAATCATAAATTTACTTAAAACATTATGAGACTTTTTTTGTGATTACGTGTCGCAATGTATTTAATGTGCGGCGCAAGACAACTCTTCTTCTTCTAGTGTGGCCCACAGATGCCCAAAGGTTGGGCGCCCCTGAGAGGCACCCTTACATACAGGTGTGTGCCCACTCACCTGTATCCCACGCGGGTGCTGGGGTGAACAGGACCCAGGCCCTGCTCTCAGGAATTCCTGGTCCAGAGAGGCCCCGTGTCCCTGTGCTGGCCGTGGGTGTTTCTGATTCCTCCCCAAATCTTGCAGCCCCCCGCCCCCGCTGTCACCTCCACCCCCAGGGGAAGCTTCCCAGGAGAGCAAGCTGAGCAGAGGAGGCGGGGCGGTCAGAGGCTGGGTCCAGGACTGACAGCCAGAGGGGCTCCGGCCATGCCAAATATGTCCTGTGTCTTCTGTCGCCCCCAGTACGGTGCCGCCCTACAGCCCTGGAGGCTCAAGCCCTGCGACCCCGGGGGTCAACATGGCCAACAGCATCGCCAGCCTCCGTCTCAAGGCCAAGGAGTTCAGCCTGCACCACAGCCAGGTGCCCACCGTGAACTGACAGCCCGCCCCGTCGGGACCCAGCTGCCTCCCTGGCCTACAACAACAGGAAAGAGGGCAGACACGCAGGAAAGTGACCTTCTCCTGTCCCTGTCCCCAGGAGAGGCTGGGGCGGGGGGCGGGGCTCTCCTGGCCCTTCTCTCCAGCCCTGACTCCTGGGCCGGGGAAGCTGCTGAGACGCCCGAGCCCGGCTGGAGACTCCGGCCCGTGACCCTTGGAGCGGTCGGGCCGGAAGGTGGAGCAGGAGCTAACCAAGGACCTCATTTACTTTGTGTATTAAAACCAAATAGCTTTTGTCTTTAAGAAATAAAAAATTGTTTAAGCCCAAAAAGGTTGTGGGAGGGCAGATACGGGCAGCGACCCAATCGGGGGGCGGCCGTCCAGGGCCCCCGGAGGCTGCCCGGGCCCGGCTCGGGCCCACAGCCGGCCGGGCCAGCCGCCCTTGCAGCTGTCTTCTCCGGATGGAGGCCTCCCTCGCCCCACAGAGCCGCAGGGTGGGGTGGGACGGGAGGACAGAGGCCTGCCCACACCCCACGGACACGCAGGTGTCTGAGCGACTGGGCAGGAGGGCCCTCCCCGTCTGGTCAGGAAGTGACCCTTATGGCAGGGGGCAGGGGCGGGGGCAGGGTGGGTGACCGTGGGCTGGCCAGAGGGTGTACGGGGCAGACGCTGAAATTAAATCCCCTGCTTTGCACATACAAAAAGCGGGGGGGCCCCTCTGAGGGTTGGGCTGCGGAGGGGCCTGAGCAAATGGCCCACAAAGTATGGGTGCAGAGTAGAGGTCCCAGGCAGGCTCCCAGGACAGAGGAGTGGTCCCAATGGCCAAGGCCACCAGAAGGCCTTCTCCAAGGTCCCCCGAGCCACCCTTTTGCAGGTGGTAAGTGGGGGTGACAGAGGACGTGTGTGCCACCAGCCAGTGACACCAATGATGAGGAGCTGCGGAAACCTGGGGGAGGGCAGTGGTCGGAAGCCAGCCCCCTCTACCTGGCCTTCTGCCGCTGCTTTGAGGGGCACGTCCTCCAGGAACTGAAAAGGTCACTTCTGAAACCTCAGCCAGTGCCCAGGAGGCAGGGCAGCACTCCCTGACCCCCAGGGGTGCAAAGGTGATCAGCCCCTTTGTACGGGTGACCCTCACAGTGACCTAGTGGCCACACCCTGGTAGGGCTGATATTCCCTAATCTGCCGGCCCAAACGGCCTCAGAGTACCCCCAAAGTGCGAGCGTTACCACCCACAGCGACATCTAGATGACCTCGAACAGGTTGAAGCCACACGACCAAGCCTTGCTTGAGGGAGGGTCCCCATTTTTGTGTTAGACGGTATGGTGACTACACTCATGAGCGAGGTGAGGACCCCGCCCCGGGTGTCCCCGCATTCGCGCCTTGAAGGCCTTTCTTGTTCTCAACCTGGAACTCCTCCCGGTCCTTGTGAGCGGAGCCTGGCCTTCCTCACGTGTGCAGGCGTGCGTGGGGGTGCGTGCTGTGGTGTCTGGGTGGTTGGGGCTCTGTCAGCAGGAGAGCGTGGGGCACCAATGGGGGCCAGGAAGGCACAGGCTCGGGCTGAAGCAGTGGGAGGGGACATGCTGCTGATGCCTTGAGCTGCCTCAGGCCCACCTGAGTGTGAGGGCGAGGCCGGAACAAGGGAGAGACCTGCACCTGGACAGGGATGGTGGATGCAGCTAGAGCCGTGTTTTGTCACTCAGTTTGGCCTCTGCCTAGGGTAGAGAAGTGTCTTCTGGGCCTTCATTTGCCATTTATCACTGAATGAATATTATGAAGCACTCACTGTGTGCCAGGCCCTGAGAAGAGAGCAGAGAACTGACATAGGGTCCTAGGCTACAGAGACCACACCTAGCACGTGGGGCCCCAAACTTAGTCTAACCCAGGCAGACTTCCTGGAGGAGGTGTCCTGGCAGGATGAAGAGCTCACCAAACAGAGAGGAGAGGGAGAACAGTGTTTCTAGCTAAGGAAACAGCAAATGTGAAGGCCCTGGGGAAAGCCAGAAGCTGTTTCTTTGCATTGGTTCCAGGGCTGGATCCCCTGGTGTGGGGTGAAGAGAAGCAGGAGCCAGCTCAAGCGGGACTTGTGTGGCCAGACCAAAAAATGTGGATGTCATCCTGGCATTGGGGAGCCACGGAGGGGATTTGCATGGGGGAGGAAACTGCACCCTGGGCCCTGTGTGGAGGGAGAGAGATCCCCGGGGAGGCCGGGGCTGGGGTCCAGGCAGGAGCAACAGCATCCTGGGCCAGCTGGGGACAGATGGGCAGGCCGGGGAGGTGTTCTGGACACAGCAGGGTCAGAGGCTGATGACTAGATGACAGGCCGGGGAGAGGGCGGAGGCCAGGGTACCCGGATCTGGCTTAGGCCCACGGAAGTGCCAGGAGGAAGAAACCCTGGGAAAGAATCCTGCCTGCTGGAAGTCTCTGGAAAACGCTGGCTTGCCCTTCCACCCAGACAAGAGCTGGGGCCGTCCTGGTGTGAGCAGAGTCTTCCCTCACAAGGAGCTGACCCCTCCCTCCTTGGGCAGGGGATTCGCCCCAGCCAAGGGCTGACACAGGGGCCCAGAGCAGCGAGCTCCTAGGCAGCCAGAGTGCCTCCTTCCTCCCCGGAAGCGCTGAACAGGCAGCAAGCGAAGCAAGCAAGGGGCTGGGCGCCCAGCACCCGGGCGCCGCCGGCGCTAGCTCAGATGCAGGCCCGCTGGTCTTGCTGAGTGCGATCCGAAGGGAGGGTGCCCTGCAGCGCGGGGCGCGGGGCGGGGCTGGGGGAGGGGCGCCGCCTGAGGGCCTGGGAGGCAGGTCCCAGAAATGCCAGCTTCGGCAAGAGCCGGAGCCTGGTTCCCACAGAGGCGCTGGCCCTGCGGTGGGGTGCAGTATGTCGATGGCACTTCCTCCCAAGCGCTCTAGAAAAAACAAACCGGCTTAATTGTTTACACATGTTGCTCCGGGGCGCTGAGGGAGGGGGCGCAGGGGCCCTCCCTGTAAAAGAAAATACATTCAAACATTGCTGTCGTATTGCAGGCCCTAATTACAGGGCCGCGTGGGAGCTTCCTGGGCACCAGTCCCGGGATATAATTTTCCGCGAGGGAAGGTACCCAAGGCCCCATCCCAGGCTGGGAGAGCTCGAAGCCGCTCTGTCTCCCTTTGTAGCGGCTTTTTTTTTTTTTTTTTTTTTTTTTTTTAATAAAGGAACTTAAACTGAGAGAGAAATGGAAAGAAAGGCAGTCAGGCTCTTGGGAACCCCCAAACCTGAGAAATAAAACCCAGGGTTTTATGTTGGGCAAGGCACTGCTCTGGACCTCGGTTTCCTCTGCTGTGAACGGGGGTAATTACGGAGGCCGCTTCCCAGGGCTGCTGGCACATCGCCCTCCAGAAATGGGTGCTTGGGTGTTTGTGGTGAAGGAGCACAGTGAAGGGGGAGGCTGAGGAAATCAGAATCCTCCTCATCCTGGGGGGGACGGGCACTTTCCCTGCCCAGGGAACCCAGCACATGCCGTGCAGGCGCCCTGGAACCGTCGAGCGCCAAATGGAACCAAAAGCAAACCGTTGTCCCCAGCTCCTGCACTCCCGCCACCCACCCCTGGAGGGCGCTGTGGGGCCACTACCAGGCACAGAGCCGAGAGGACACCGCCCCCTCCCCTCTCAGATCGCGGGGCTTCCAGCAGGCTCCTGACCAGCCTTCCTGCTCTCGGAAGACAAAGAAACCCGCAAATGCCCAACCACCAGCAGGGGTCCCAGCGTGAAAACCAACGCGAGCCTAACGAAAAATGCACCAACCACCATGAAAATGTGCGCACACTCGCTCAGTGATTTCATCTCTAAGCCCACGTGGAGAAATACTCCAAAACGGGGTGGGGGTGGAGGACAACGTGTGCCAAGATGTTTATCACACCTTTCACACACGCAACACCAAAAATCTCGGAAGACACACACCAAAAGGGAAATCGCTTAAATTTTATAGTGGTTCACCACCCACTTGTCTCCGTATTTTCTGCAATGGGACGAATAACCCGTGTCGACTATATAAGGAGCCCTTTGAAGATGACAAAATGCACTGGCTTCCTGTTTCTGTCCCCCTTGGTGCCTCAGTCAGAGCTGGACGTATCTTTTCAATACCTGTTGGTGAGTGAACAGCCCCGTCCCAAGCTCAACTCTTACTGCACAGTCAGTTCTCTGGTCTGGAAGCTTTGTGGTCAGTACCCCCCAACCCCACTTTTACATTGCAAGTGCTGGAAAGAATGGGTTTGAGAGCTGCTTCTTTTTTTTCTTGTTTTGTTTTAAAAGATTTATTTATTTTTAGAGAGAGGGGAAGGGAGAAAGAAATGGAGAGATACATCAGTGTGTGAAAGAAACATAGATTGGTTGTCTCTAACACGCCACCAACCGGGGACCTGGCCCGCAACCCAGGTATGTGCCCTGGCTGGGAATCGAACTGGCGACCTTGTGGTTTAAAGGCCAGCACTCAATGCATTGGGCCACACCAGCCAGGGCTGACAGCTCCTCAAGTCTTAGTCCACATCTTGGAAGTGGGAAGGGGCTGAGCTTGGGGTATGGGGGGCAGCAGGGAGCACCTGGGAATCGGAAGAACCGAAAGCAGAGGTGGTGTGGCGGCTGAGGCCACGGCGGTCCTGGGGTCCCCACCGAGGCAGCCGCGCCTCAGTGGCTCCCGGGCCGAGTGGAGGTGGAACCTCTGACATGTTTCCAAGCAAGAGGACATGGTAAAGACGAAGGGTCTGAGCAGATGTCATTAAGTCCCTAGTCAGTTGACTTAGACTTAATCAAAGAAGAGGTTACCCTGGGTGGGCCTGACCTAACCAGGTGAGCCCTTAAAAGAGGATCCAGGTGTTTCCTGAAAGAAGATATTCAAAGCAGGAGGAGCTGCCCCGCCGGCCCCGGAGAGCCAGCGGCCGTGCTGAGAGCCACCCGTGGCGGTGGGGCCTCGTCTTCCGTCACACGGGACCGAACTCTGCCTGCAGCCTGAACGAGTGTGCAAGGAGACGCTGAGCTCCAGGGAGACCTCAGCCTGGGGGACCCCTTGACGGCGGCCTTGTGAGACCCCGAGCAGAGGACCCAGGTAAGTTGTGCCCAGACTCCTGACCTACAGAAACTGTAAGGTCAAAAATGGTGTTTTAAGCTATGTTTGAGGCA